TATTCTCAAGAAATCTAAATCAGGCGGGCTCTTAAATTATTAATATGTTTCTTCTGTAACGGCTAAAATTATTAAAACAAGATAGTTCAACATAACTAAATTATCCAATTTATGCAGGAAAATTTGGAGCAGTTTTTGCTTCCATTCCAGCACCAATCGTAGCTGCTTTATACTGCCTCTTCTTTGCCTACGTGGGTATGTCTATATAATCTTAAGAACGGTGAACATTATTGATATTTGGTTCACATTATCATTAAGTTACTTTGTATTCTGTGATATTCAGGTTCGGCTGGTATAAGTTTTCTTCAGTTCTGCAATCTCAATAGCTTCCGGACCAAATTCATATTAGGTTTTTCCATTTTTATGGGTTTGTCCGTGCCACAGTACTTCAACGAGTACACTGTTATTAATGGCTATGGTCCTGTCCATTCCTCGGGAAGATGGGTACGCTTAAGAACCGAACTTGTGATTTTCTTCTAGATTTTAAATTCATGCAAAATAATGATTGTTATGCATGCATATTCTTATGGTTTTTTTGTTGTCTAAACAGTTCAACGACATAATCAATGTCCCTTTCTCGTCTGAAGCTTTTGTGGCGGGTATATTAGCGTATTTCCTTGACAATACGCTACACAAGAAGGACAGCCAAATAAGGAAAGACAGAGGCAAGCATTGGTGGGATAAATTCCGCTCATATAAAACTGACTCAAGAAGCGAGGAATTTTATTCTCTTCCCTTCAATCTCAACAAATATTTCCCTTCTGTGTAAATCTTTGCATCCTGAGACAAAACGGGTTCTCAATTTTAGCTTATTAAGTAGTTCTTGAAACCTAAATATGCAACTATGGCATACCGAATTGTTCTTTAAGTTGTCTTATTTTTAGTAAATGGTATAAAAGAGTTATAAATAACCTGTTCATTTGAAGAGTGCCTAGAATCTTTATTGATTATTTATCTTTCTTCTGTAATGCACCACTGCATTTCCTTCCAATTCCATAACTGGAGAGGGATGCACTTATTGCTTTTACTTGACGCAATCGCATTAAAGATGAAAATGAAGTTAAAATCTTGTTATTGTAAGTCCATTGTTCGAAGTAGAGTTTGCATGCTCAAATTATGGAACATTTAGATGCTTGTGGATGTTGTTGTTAATATGATTCTGCCTCAATGCTTGGATTGGCATTTTTTGGTGCCTAATATTTGATGAATTCTGGCCAACAATGCTCATATGGGCATTGTTTAAAGAGTAATGTTATTTGTATATCATGTGTATATGGTGATATATAGATGGATGATATGGAGAGAGAGAAAAAAAAGGGAGAAGGAAAGAAAAGAAATTCAATTATAATAAGTTCTTTTCTATATCATTTATCTATACGATATTATGTACAAAATGATATACAAATAACAAATAATGCTTGATGTTCAACAAATACTCTCGACATTAGTTTTGGTCGAACAGAATTTTGTGTCATTTCTAATAATATTGAACGTTGTAAAAATTTCAATAAAAATGGTCATTCTTAATATAGAACAATTAAAAAATCTCTCACTTTATTAATTTCAATAAAAGGGAAATCAAGATAGCTATCTCGGAACTCCAAGGTGAACTCTTGATCCATTAACTCTGAATTAATCCTCATCGTGCAAACAACTAATAAATAAATAAAATCAATAATTGACTTGCTAATTTGGTCTGCATCATTAACTTATAATTTATTCGTTCATTATTAAATTTATCATATAAATTATCCAATTTTAGGTAACTATTTTTAATCCAATAAAAAATTAATTTATTTTAAAATTTCACGTGGGTCTCCTTGCATCATTATCTTCCTCTGCTATAATTATTACTGCGTTCAAAATGAACGCAAACAATCGCATTTATCAGAGCCTAATACCCATTATCCATTCTGTTCTTGCATTTACACAAGGTACGATTGCTTCTTACGCGCTAATTTTTATTTTTATTATTTATTTTTTTATCGTTTTCATTCTCACTTTAATGATTGTGATAATAATGGATTATATTTCTTGTTTTCCTTATCTTTTATTTGTTCGCTTTTGTATTTAATTTGTTGTTTTTGATATAACTGAATTCGACCAAGGAATCATCTCGTCTATGTTGAATTCCAGGATGTATTTTAACTAGTTTGTGTTGTACAGTGTTATGAATATTTTCAATAGAATTCTGAGTGTGGATGTAAAAGATGTGTAATTCACTCCTAATGATGGTAAAATTCTGGATGCTCGTGTCACAGTTTGGTTTAGAAAGTAATGCCTGTGGTGCAATAATACTTTTTTATTTTATTTTATTTTGTTTTTTTTGGGTTTCTAATTGTACGAGTAAGCAAATTGACTGCTAAGAGAAAAGAAAGAGAGGTTATTAATATTCATCAAAAATAAAGTTAGCTCAAGGGGAAAAGAATGAGGATATCTTAGTGTTATGGTGTGAAGTTTGATTTGAATTATTGACGAATGCTAAGACAATGCAGATAAACATTCATTGATGAAACGGGTAAAGATCATCATCTTCCCTCCATGCTGCCTTTTTGGCAACTGATCCCTATTCTCCAAGTTCTTGGGATTATTCATAACTGTCTTGTCAAATATTGCCATAGAAGCTATGAACCTGAAACAAATGCTTCTATTATGCCATTAAGCATCATTTTAGTTTACTAAGTCAGCACGCTTACGGCTTCCTGAATTGAAACTGAAATCTTTAGCAGTTTATGGAAGCCACCTGACTATATGGTGAAGTATGGGCTGCCAATAAATAGATAAGGGTTGGCGTAGAACCGAACAGACGGGCAGGATTGAAGACAATCGTGCTAAATGACAAACCTCTTTCCTTGAATATTTTAGCCATATTCTCTGGTTGCCATTGAGCATGTCTTAGCGATGATCTCATTCTGTAGAAGCTTTGCTTCTTCACTTACATCCCTGCTCGGAGTTATCTGCTATAAAGACATCGTGCTCAATTGCCAGATTAGAGACTCAACCATGTTGAACTCTGCCATCTCTATGCAAGGTCCATTCTCACCTCCTCTTTACTTTCATTCTCATAATCTGATCAGTCTCCTATCTTGTCCCGAACAATAAGTTGGTAAGATTTTTTTCTTTGCTCTCACATTATAGGTCTTGAAAGAAAGAAAAATATTTTACATCCATGATGAATTTCTTAATTTTATATTTGCCTCCTGAATCTTGTTTTTCATAATTTGGGCTAATCACTGTTTAAAGCTCTAACAAAGATAATCAATCTTGTTAACCAAATAAGTAATCAACCTCATGCTATACATCCCAAGCTCGCTTGTGGGTGGTAATGGATAATAATTGTAATAAAATATAACAAACCATGAAATGAACAGCAAAGGTTTCCTTAGGTGATGATTGAGGGTATGGAGCGGCAAGGGTGGTTTAATGAAAGAATGTACAGTGAGATGGTGTGGTGATCGCTGGTGGGAACCTATGTAATTTTAGGCTTGATTAGCAGTCATAGGATTAATCTGACATAAGGACATACATTAATGACATTCGGTCAGGGTTAATGACTGAAGCAATCTCAAAGGCAATTACATTAATCAGGTACATTTATTACACCCGAATAAGATTGTAGCAATCCGAAAGGGTATTACAATAATCAGGCCCACATTTATTACTCCTAAATAAGATTCTTTTCCACAAAGGAAATTACATGTGATTACAAGATAGTTCACACAAACAGCTACTCACATTCCAATCACATCCACAGGCTCAGCTCTAAAATGAATAAGATCCTCTAGGATCAGTTTTATTTATGATGACAACTAAGCACACCCACCCACTTTCACAAACACTGCTCCCAAGAAACTTCTCTTTTGGACGGAGTTTTCTATGATGACAACACGATACACACGCGTCCATTCACATGGACACGCACAAAGACACATCTCAGCTAAGTTCAAATTAGAACACTCATCTACAACACACCTCACACACTTCCACAAAGTGCCTTCAAGATATACACAACACACACACACACACACACACACACACACACACACACACAAAGCAATCAAGAACAAGCGAAAATGGTGCCAGAAGAGATAAGGAAGCAGATCATGCTTGACCTGTTTGGTTACCAGTCAGATGAAAATGAGGAGGAGCCCATCCCCCAACCTATCTTTGCAAGTATATAGATATTGATTTACTATTTTTTTTCATGTCCAAATAAACTTCGCTAACTCAGATCTAGTTATGCCAGTTTTTCAAAAAATCCCAAAATTTTAAGTTTTTCCCTTTCTAAGAACAACTTTGTCCTATCAATTCGCTTTGTGCATGCATGCACATGTGTGCATCGGAGGAGTTTTGTGTTGAAGGAAAAATATATCATTTGTTATTTTTTGGCTGTTAAAGTTGAGTGTAAATTAGGACTTCAGTGCATAATTGATTGTTTACCTCCTAATCCTTTTTCTTAATTTTGAATTACATATTTATTGTCATGTAGTTAGTTGAAAGAACCCTTTGGTCTTAAGAGCAATGAATTAGGTTCTCATTCCTATGGTTTAAAAAATTGTGACCGAGTCCTCCCTTAGAGTGAGGGGAATCAAATTGCTCAAGGAGCTGATTGTGTGGCAGATTTTGGAGGCATACATCTCAACTGAGTCAGGCACACGCTTCATGTCACCAGCTCAAGGCTTGTGAGGCGTGCACTCCTTAACCTTTTAGACTTATTTACTTTAATTTAGGAGTGGGCTCACAAAACATGAAAAGTTTTGATTGATCGGCGATCAAATGGCCCACCCCTACTAAAACATTAAAAACTCGTGCTTCTCATGTACCTTGTACCCACTGTGGTAATAGTCTATTGTCCAACCAATTAAAGTAATAGTTTTTTGTTACTTTATATATTTTTCTTTTGCTTTGTTTGCACATTTTAAACTGTTTTATTACGAATTTTGAAAATGTTTATGATTTATTATGTGATAATTTTGCATTTTAATGATTTTTTGACATTGCTTTGGTTTGCTGTGTGGCTTATGCCTCAAAATGCCTCGAGATGTACTCATTGCCTCGCGAAGGAAAAATACCTCAATATTTGATAACACATGGCTCATCCCTAAATTTTTTATGGAATCTAACTATGTAAGCATGAATATCTTTGTCCATGGTTCTGTAATATATGTATGTTTGCATGTGTTTATGTGTAAAAAATTTCCTTTATTTTAACCTAGTAAAAATTTTAGAGCTGAATGCTATAATAGCGTCCGCATTGTTCATATGCCATTTTGAGCTTGGCTTATGTACTGGAAATTGTTTAATTTGAAGATTTGCATATAACAATTTGATTTTATCTCCTAATTAAAAATGATTTTATTTTTTTGATAGGTAATCAAATATTTTATTATAGAAAACACAGAAAGTGTATTATCAATTTAAACAATAAAGAAAAAGCATGTAATATGGCAGTTTGTCTATATGATTTGTAATTGCAGCATTAAACCAAGTATGCAATGTCAAATAAAATAATTTTCTAATCTACTCTGTTGTCTGTGCTTAAAACATCGACTGTTTCTCTCTCTCTCTTCACACATACCATATGATACAACCTGGAATAAGGTTGCAGACAATTTTGTTATTTTTATTGCGAAGCTTTTTCCTCTATGCCTTTAACATATCTTCTAGTTGCTTCGGCATCACCCAATCCATGTGTTGAGTGGCCAGAATCTCGTTCCACAACAACGAGCAGCATCACAATGGAGGAATAAATGGTCAATTGTCTTCCTATCCCTCCTATACATATAGCACTACTCCGTAACATACAGACCCCTTATTCGAAGATTGTCTACCGTTAACACCTGTCCCTAGACAACCGTCCGTAATAAGAATGCTACCCGTGGAGGTAGTTTACATTGTCATACCATCTTCCAACGGAATGAACTTTTGCAGATCCCAATAAAGATCTAAAATAATTTCCAACCGAAAACATACCATTCCGTGTTAGCTCCAAATTAAAAATGATTTTATTAAGTACAATAAATATCATATGTTGTTTTCATATAAATCTAATGAATTCCTAATCTCAAATTCTCATAATTTTTATTGAGAGACGTAATGCAGCCGCGAGTGGTGCAATTGCTTCATCATACTTCATGGCATGCATGATTAAGCTAAGAGTTGCAAAAACAAAAAAATATTTAAAGTGGCTGGGAATGACTCAAATGACATCCTTGCAAAACAATGCACATAGATAACAAAATATTTTGGCAAAAAGGATAAGATAGGATTAAAAAAGTGAGTATATTGGGGAAGTAAAATGGAAAAATAAGACAAAAAAGGAAAATTTTCATATACTTTTACCATAACGGAAAAAAGATGTCGAATTCCTGTATAGAAGGATAGATGACTTCGTACATAAATGCTTCGTCATTTATGTGACTAGGTTATATTTATCCATTCTACTATTATTGGTTGCGTTTACCGTGAAATCTACCCGTATGCTATTTTAGCCCCATTGTTAGTTGTGGTAACCTGCGAATTGGCACTAAAGTTTATCAGAGTGGAAGGTAGCCGATTGTCGTGCAAATATGATGTTAAACATAGCTGCATATGATGAAGCATCACGTACTGAAGCCTATCTAATCATGCATGCATGGATTAAGATATTACCTTTATAAACTTGGTTACATAATAACTGAATTAGATTAAATTGCTTCTTTGCATGTTATAAATTATGACGTACTGGAGCCAAGGTCATGCATGCATGGAGTAAGATATCATGGTTATCTACTGGGTTAATAATAATTGAATCAGATCAAATTGCTTCTTTGCCAAGCATGAAGCTCTCATACTTGATCCTGTCTGGTCACTAAGCTTTAACATAATTTTTGTCTGATTAGTATCATTTTTTCCCCTTGAATTGCTATAAAAGGTCAGTAAGTAGCAATAAACTTTGAAATTCTCTTGCGGAAATCCTAGAGTTTTTCTCTTTATAATGTAGGTTAGGCTACATTGTTGGACTCATGGTTGCCTGCTTCAAGCAGAGCACGTTACATAATATGACCTATAAATTTGAATCACATTGTGTCTCATTGCCATTTTCGAACTTATAAATGGTATGAACATTTTCGTTTCAGAATGAAGAATATGGAGTGCTCGAGCCTGAAGTCGAAGGCAAGGCAGTTCAGGAAAGTGAGAACGAGCCAGAGGCTCTTGATCGTATTCATGCAGAGAGCAGGGAGAAAATTCAGTGTTCGCAAGAAATTTGTATTCACGATCAAAGTGGAGGAAGGTACTTTGCAAAACACCTTCTGTTCTTGCATTTTTGTCTTCCTCTACTTCTTGAGGGGCTGATTCAACTCGTCTGGCCTCAGAAATAGTGATAGTTTATTGAAATATATTTTCTATTAAGGAAATATACATGGTTTGATAGACACTTGATAAGAAAATGTTAGGAGAATATAAAGCCCACAATGAAAACTTCATTTCTTTCTGGTTCAGGTTGTTTGTCCATTGATTTGCATGCAATACCAAATTCTTATTTCCTCTAAGTGAGTTAGCTTTTATTGTCTGTTCCCCAGTATTTGTTAACACTACCAAATTCTTAGGTTAAGATTCCTTTTTGGTACTAAAATCTATACCTCGTTCATATCTAACACTCAAATGTATTTAATTCTACAGACTGCTAGCATTGAAAGACTGATTAATAGTGAGACAGTTTAGTCCTTTGATTGCTAAATCTACATTCGTCATTATATCATTTCATACATGATCAGTTCTGTATTTATTGTATTTTGAATGTCAATGTACAATTCTTCTAAGAGGAGAAGAACTGGGTATGCGATGCTAAGAGGAGAAGAACTGGGTATACAATGAGCGGTAAGGAAGCAAAAGCTTCATTTAGACAATGTTAGTTAGTAGTCATTTTCAAACTCTGCATGCGTTCTTTTGGCTTTAATAGAAATCTTATTCAGTTAATTTGAAGTAATCCTCATTTTGATCCTTATATTACAAATTTTACTTCTTTGAATTGTAATTGTTTTCCCCATGCAGTAAATCACTCGGCAGCACAAAAGATGATAAGCAGCAATGTCTAGCTGCCCTATTTCATGATATTTCTGGGGACTCTGATAATGGAGAGCATGACAGCATAAAAGATGACAAGCAACGTGGCATTTGTGATATTTTTGGGGACTCTGATAATGAAGAAAATGGCGGCACAAAAGATGATAAGCAACATTCAGCTGCTGTAAATCGTGATATTTTCAGGGACTCAGATAACCAAGAACATGACAGCACAAAATATGATAAGCATCATTTAGCCGTTGGAACTCATGATATTTTTGGTGACTGTGATAATGGAGAACAAGCAGACCATATAACTCAGAATCAGAATGATGACAATGTGAATGTTTGTATAAGAAGTTAAAATAGCTTATTTCTTTTTGGATTATGTGATTTCACTCACATTTTGCATGTAAATTAGAACTCTATTTACATATTTGCTTGTAATACAGAGATATCGCTTGGACGAGGGAAATTATGTGAAAGAGCGGAGGCCTGAAGTTAGGGTACCTGATGAAGATGTGCTGTACGAATATGCAGATACTGAACAAAAGGAAAAGGCCACTGCCTCTTCGCTGGCGTTAGAGATTCCTCAGTGTTGTCCCTTGGCTGATCCAGATAAGGTTTGCCTCATGTCTTTTTTCTAGAGCTGTAAATCTTCAGCATATGTTCTTTTTTATCCCTTGATTCTTTGATTTAAACTTGCATGTTAGCCTCCGTTCAACAAATTTATTAATCATTTGTAAATGGGTCAAACTTCATTTTCAACCACACATTCCAATGGACCCTCAAATACTATCATCTTATCCACCCCTCATTTCTCTCTATTTACAAATTAAACCATTTATAAATTCATCCCAATTGGAGACCTAATAATTTAGCATAAAAATTTTATTGGGATTTCAATTCTGAAGCATGTCTTATTTAGCTGATTGTTCACTCAGCTATCTGTTTTCCAAATTCTTTAATATGTGAAACTTGTAGATCTATGATGAGTTGTCTTGCTATCCTGGGCATATTGGATATGATAATTCGAGTCATTAAAATAGAACACAATCAGGTATAATCTTGACTAATACTATGCATTAAAATTATACAGGATTTTTTATGGTTGCTGGTTGTTGGATACAATCACTCTTCAATTTTTCAAAAGTTTTGTACGAACTTTTTTTCACATTTTATTGTTTATTATCAGTGTATTTCCATACTTCTGTTAATTTTTAAATTATGTTATAGGTTTACAGTGAGGCTTATTCTTTGAAGTGCATTGAGGCTTACACCTGACTCACCGAACCTTTTTAACACGTAGGAGAAAAATAACTATAATAGAAAGAGAATTGAATTGAATTGAATCAAATTTTCCTTTTTGCTAATTTCATCACTATTTTGTTTCTGAGGGAATAAGTTTTTGGTAGCTTTTTTAAAGTTTTTCGGAGAACATTTTTTGCGAGTTTTTAGCACTAGTCACAATTTTTAGCAGCTTTCATAACTATTAAATTATTTTGATCTGTAAACAATCGTTTTTAGTCGGATTAAAGGTTCATTCTTAATTTCTTGAATTCACATTCATCTTCTTATCCATCAAGTGCCCTTCTATTTGCCTTGTCGCTCTCCCATTCAACATCATCGGATTCTCAACTTCCTTTTCTCAGCTTTGTACTGCCAATATAGGAGCGTTCATGTGGTCCACCTCCTAATGACTCTCAAAACAAATGCCAAGAAGCAAAAAGCTGCTTACCGACGAAAATGCTAGTGATTTCGGGTACCTATTACAAAGTAGAACCTATTTATAGGGCTACAAGCTATGTAGCACGGACACTCTAACTAGGATAGCGTGTCCGTGTTCGACACGTGTCGGATACGTGTCGATACCGACACTCTTCGGACACTCTACAATAATCATTTTCCTTTCTTACTATAACTATTATATATTTTTAACTCAAAGTTTTTAATAAATAACAAATAAGTACTCATATTTAAAAGTTTTCAACAAAAAAGAATCAATAATAAGTATAAAACTAAATTTAAACTATATAAATGAAGAATTTTAAAAATTTAATGAAGGTGTTGACGACGTGTCGTGTCAGTACTTTTTTTAAAAATCGCGAGTCGACGTATCCGACACATATCGTGTTGGACACACGTGTCCGTGTCGGTACATCATGGGCTACAAGTAACTTTAAAAGGAAACATTGTGTAAAATCAAACAATCAATTATTAAGGAAAATGATCTCCCATAATTGAGAAAATGTTATGGAGAATAATCTTTATAATCTTTCCATTTCTTCAACATATACATAGCATGTCATGTCCTGTTTTGATTAGGATCTTGATTTTGTTTGTTTGTATTTTTATTCTTATTGGGTTGGGTAGACGGCCTCAAGCAGGGTGGAGGCTGCTATGGATAGATTAATGGATTCATTTACACTTTGATATAATACATACCAATTTCTCATTGACGTGGTGCAAATAAATACAATTTTCTTGGTGTGTGGGTGGGTGAGAGAGAGAGAGAGAGAGAGAGAGGAATTTTTAGCATGTGATTATAGAAGAAAGACATTAGTGTGGATCCTTTTAGGATCTTTCTCGCTGCCTTGAGGAGCTGGAATGTGAAAAAAATCCAAACAGTTAAATACAGAGAGATTGATAGAGATTTTTTTGGGTGATTTTCCTTTATAAATATATAATGCTAACGAACAATTTGTCAAAGGGGATCTAAGTAAAATGGGAAATATGTTATTTTGTTAGCACAAAATGTAGAGATGTTCAATATGGTGTAGCACTAGTATGGTATCCAGCATCTGGGTGCAATTCTACCCCTTGTATATGTTAGTTGTACTTATAAAATTTTAATGTGACTTGAGAAATTTTTTGAAACGATTTTAATGAAGGAATGAAATTTTTGAATCCAAATCACTAAGGGTTAAGATAAAATAAGTTGATATCTTTTATGACTCTAGCTGGATTCAGGAACGGCTTTTAATCCAAGTGTATTTTTTACACGTGTTTTAAAATATTGAGAAATTTATTGTTTTATATTCTTCTGTTGCAGATGTACGTGCTCAAACTCTCCAACTTAGTGGCCATTGATCCCAAGCCATTTGATCCAAGCACATATGTTGAACAGGACTTTTTTGGGACAGACAATTCTGGACATAAAAGGCATATCCCTCCCCAAAATATCATTCGCTGGAGGACCGTCAAAAAACCTGATGGCAGAACATCTGTATGTTGATTTGTGGATTTTAACTACCAATTTAGCACATAACAACATGACCATGAATATCTACTCATCTAGTTCATTTTCCTTTTGCTCTGTGTTCAATTGGCATAGAAGTACAGGTGGATTGACTCGAAGACATTTAGATATTGTGCTACATCAATTTATAGATAAAAAAACCCATTTATATATATTAGAAGCATGGCTTGGTCCACTGTTTGCCCTGACCCATAAAAATTACCACTTAAAGATCAGGACTTGATTACGGATGCTCCAATAACAACCACAAATTCGTTGTTTGACAGACATGGTATGATCTTAGTAGCAACCATCATTTCACTGTGGCGGTGGCGGTGGAGATGTATTGATGACAGGAATTTAGATAATATGTACCCCCCCCCCACCAAACACACCGCGCCTACGAGTGAGGATCTCTATTTTTCTTTCTCAGCGAGAATAGACAGCCAAATTGGTCAATACTTAACAATGGAGAGAAAAGTACCTAATGGAGAGAAAAAGGAAAAAAAGTAAAGGAAATGGCTGGTTGATATAAATTTTGTTGTTTACTAATTTAGAGTTAGTACTAAACTACATGCCTATATTTAAGTCTAGATAACCTAGATCTATTCAGTTGTTAGACTGTGACCTAATCGGACATGAGAACCTGGATGGAAATGTGCCTCTATGTATAACTGAAGTATTATTACTACTAATAAAGAAGGAAGCATAGCCCCAGGAATGGCTTAACTGCTTAAGCTAGAGGTATAGTGGATTGGTGCTCTAACACTCACGGGAGTCTGATGCCCTTGAACTTCAATTTGATTGAAATCCTAGAGGTTATATTAAAAACTTGTGTTTACAACCCTATCTTCTGAAAATGAAACTGTAACAGGCCTCATGCATAACCCCCAACCTTTGACCCCTTTTGCACTGTTGTTTCCAACCTTTTCTCTTTCTTCTAAACCCTCAAGATTCCATCTTTAGATGCATTTGGTCCTTAAGGGTTTCATTTGAAACCACCGTTAAACTGATGTGAAAATGCAAATTTTGCGTAGGGTTTTAGATAAACAAAAATTTACTGGGAAAAAAAGGAATCTTCTTTGCCAACCCTTCAGCCTCCCAATTCCCCTGCAGCAAACTTCTTGCATCCCCAAACATCCACCCATCCGTTCCCCCAACCTTCAGCCCCGATTCCCACGGCCCTCACATTCGGCAACACTCCATTATTGGAATATGGGACATGAGGTTCTGGTTCTTTACTAATGAGCGGGCTTTTAAATATATTGGAATATTTTGTGGAAGAAAGGATACAAAACCAGTTGAAAGTCCCATTATCATTATGGGAATTAAGTGAACCAATTGCAGGGCCATCTTGAATGGCTTCAAGTTGATTGCCCTGGACATGGTGATTTCAGGGGAGATGGGATTCTGGCTTAGGAGGTGTAGAGAAGCTTGGTGTTGCAGGGGGATGCCTGGTGGTATGCATTGCAGTGGAAGTGGGATGAGGGTGAAGTCTTGAAGAAGTAGATGATGTTTTTCATTTCCCTTTGCTACTTTTACAGAGTCTATTTATTAAGCTTGAGGCCTAATTTGTCTATTAATGCCAGCTATGGAACCTGTCGCTATGGACTAAATGTGCCTAAAATTGGAAGTTTGGGGGCTTAAGAAAAAGATTGGGGACGTGGGGTCAAAGATTGGGGGCCATGTATGCAATTTCGCAATTTGAGAAACAAAAAGATCAACTTTGAACAACGGTTACCGTAATAAAATCTTGAGAAAGTATTAAATTTGACCACTAGAAGAAATAACATCCAGTATTTGGCCTTTTTTAGTAATGTTGAGATAATAGATGTTACCCAAGGTCTAGAATATTTTAGTTGGGCTCCATTTGTAATTAAAGAGATTAATTTTTGAATACCTCGACATTATATTATCAATTTTATCCATTACCACTGGTGATTTTGATTTCATGGTTACTTTTACTTTGACTGTTAAACCTATTACCTCTAGTTTTGTTCTCACACCAATAGAATTTTCAAAATTAGTTGGTCCTCATAGATTGCCTGATTGGACTGTGTTTTGATGCATTTGTAGTAAATTGCACATCTTCTACTTGACATTTTCTTCAACTACTACAAAATAATTTCGCATATGCAGGTTGAAAGCAATGCACGATTGGTGACATGGGAAGATGGAAGCTTACAATTGTTAATTGGAGAACAAGCGTTTATGGTTTCTGAGCTAGACACAAGGGAAAATCAGGCGCACCTTTTCCAGAGACATAAAAATGTACCTTATAAAGCCTTCACTAGCACGTGTTAAATCTTTGGTGTTGATAAGGCTTTGACTCCTTCAAATAGTTGTGATAGTCATAATGATTGTATAAGAAATAGCTTGGATGATTGTGTTTCTCTCAACTGTAATATTCATTATCTTAACTCTGAAATTTATCTACTATGCAAAAATTGCAGGGAATTCTCCAATCACAAGGGAGAATCTCAAAAAAACTGCAGTTTCTGCCAGCATCTGATTCTCAATTCTCAGCTATTCTTGATGCAACAAGAAATAAAAATGTCAAAGTCAAAAGTTGCACTGCTGATGTCATCTCTCAATGGGAGTTGGAAAACAAAAAGAAGGTAAAAAAAATTAATTAGCCACGAAGTTGGTAGACTATGTACACTTCCTGAATATTCATATTGACTTGTTTTGATGACTTAATAGATGGAGAAGCAGACATATCGACCTAATAAACGACTTGGTCAGATGGGCAAAGGGATTCACAAATGTGGACAAATTGTCAGCCAGGAACATCGAGTGCCACCAGGTTTGCTGAAGGATCTAATGGTGAGGTCTTATTCTGTCTCATTTTCTTTGCATAAAAATGTCGGGAAGTATGACAATAATCCCAAGACAAATTCATGTTTTATTTTTGTCATGAGTATCTAGCTATAAATTATGGTTAACTTTTATTTGTCAGCGTCTTCTAACATATAAATAAGTAAATAAATGATAGAAAGGAAATTGACCATTTGTTTTTCCATTATTAGTCTTGTTTTCTCTATGAAAATAATTATAGTTTTGTCAATTTTATTTCAATCAGGATTATGAACAAGATTTTCGTGAACAACAGTCTGCTGCACAGCACTTAAATGAGAACAGAGAAAATGAAGCGGGAGCGTCGGTCATAACATTTAATGGAAAAAAGGCAAGTCATTTATGTTACACCCCCCCAACCCAACGGGGGCACTTTCCAGATTCTGTATGTTAGAATATGCCCTTCTCGTTTCATTGGAACATCTACTGAATTCTCATCTCAGGGACCAAAAAGTCCTCTGAAATTACCATTTCCAGATGCCAAATCATCTCAAGGTCCAGAAGACTTGCTTGGAAGTCGGAAAATGGTGGATAAGATAAGAGGAAAAACTATGGTTGTTCGTCATCACATGGAAGGTTTAAGGAGACAAAGCAGAAATGAGGAAGAGACTTATGAAGATTCAGAAGTGGAGGCTGAGTTAAGCAACATTTTTTCTAAATAGATATTCGTTTCCAACTTATAATGCATGTAAAATGATAAAGAAATGTTCTAGAGTTTTCTTCTCTACATTTCCTTTCGTTCTCTTACAAACTATTGATTATCTTGTTGTCACTGAGTTTTTTCTGAACAAAGCCCTAAAACATGCACTGTTCTAGTGTTTATTATGCTTCTTTATTTCTATGTGAAGATTATTGCTGAAGCAGGACACTTTTTATTTTCATTTTTTATTTCACAGGTTCGTTTATTGCACTATGAATGTGACAGTCTTCTCATTTTGAACGATAGAAATTTGCTCTTTGAGGGCATCAACGGAAGTTAACTAGGAACAAGCAATAGGAGAAGTTGTTTCTGATACCGTAAAATGTTGTTAATTTTTTCCTTACAAATTGCCGTTGATGAACCTAGTCCTCGTGGGAGGCCATTAGGAAATAAATAATTGCAATCCACCCAGAGTGGGCATAAATTGCCCGGGCAGATTTTGTGCCTATATTGTCCAAAAAGTCTATTGAGATTTTTTTTATTTTTTTTAAACATAAACTTTAAGATGATAGCTGCTTTCATGATCATGCTGTAGTTGTTTTCTTGATGTCATGATGATGAATTTGCCTTTATCTTTTCTTAAAGACATTCGCAAACTTTCTTGTTTTTCTATATATTGATCACCGGGGCTAAAGCAGAAGGTTGAGGAATCAGGAGGAGGTCTGAAGCTGAGGCACATTACTATTTTCAAAGGAAAGCTATGGATCTGTCGTTGAATGGCAGTTGTGCATGATAGAGACTGTGCATAAGATCTCTTTTAGAAATCTGTTTGTACAAGCATTGACCTATGCTTTCTATGTGACTGTGTTGCAGATATGTGCGTCTTGACGTCTTTAAGTATGTGTATATATACATGCACTTTATGTTTGTAGTTCAGTTTTTGAGCATTTCTCTTTTCAAAGTTTCATGGTCAAAATTTGGATGTTATTTTCTTTGCACTAGTTTTGCACAAAGATAAAATTGTAGTAGAATCATTTTTATTTTTTTGCACAAGTTTTGCACAAGTCACGTACAATCGTTTTTTGTAATTTTACAACTATCCTCGCTTTTGTTCCATTATGAATAAATAAGCACTTTGATGGGGATTTGTAGCATCATTCAAGTAAATATAGATTGAAATCCTAGAAACATGAGCTGAGTTTTCGCACACTGCACAAGTTTTGCACGGGGAGTGCACTAGTTTTTGACCGCTATTTTCTTATCTCCTAATAGCATTTTCAATAGGCTCGTAATTAACATTATTTTTAATTTTATTTTAGAGTGTCAAATCTCTTTTTGAGGTGTCCAATACACTCTTTATCTTCAAAATTAAATAAAAATTGAATTTGAGCTTTCGAATGTAGGAAGTCAAATTCATTCTCTATACAATAATTCATTTACTATTTTATAGTTTAATAATAGAGCCTGCCTCTGATAATTGTTATGAGGGTTTCCCTAACACCTCAATTATAGCTATAGCGTGAAGAAGGGTGGAAGGCGAAGGCAAGCATTATACGGTCTCGACACCTTTATTAGTGGGAGATGACTTGTCAGTCCTAGCCCAACTTTTTGTTTTGAGATTTACTCATTTAATTCGTAAGTGGAAAGTGACGTTGTACAGCTCTTAAAAAAGTACACTGCACGCTAAGTTGCATCTTAACTTCAAAAAGAATTAAGGATGAACTTATATATTGAATACTATATCAAATGATTAATGACGACTTGAATTTCTATTTATATTTTTTTTATATGACAAATGGAAGAATTGATTCCACATTAAAGAAAGAATCAAATACGATCTCTCCATTAGGTAGGATTTTAGGGGCCCAAGCACTTATTTATTGAGAGGACACTACAATTTTTATTTCAATTCTTTAATTTTTACAAAATAAAAAACAGAAAAGTGACGATAATTACTTAAATGTAATAGCAAAATAATGAATAAATTATAGAATACTCTTTATATCATAGAAGATACTCTTTAAAATAAAGAGCAATATTACATATGCTCCATGGTTTTTTTTAGTAAAATTCAACTAAAGAGCAACGAATTTGGTTCTCATCTAGGCACGGAAGTCTGTCTGTCGGTATATTTTTCACAATGAAGCATTAAGGTTCCCGTGTAGATTATATGCATGTCTTCAAACGATTCCTTTAAAGATCCAATTTTTAGTAATGACACAGGAGCCTTCTGGGTTGTATATTACAATTTTGTTACCTTAGCGAAAACATGAATGGCTGCAAAGGAAAAATAAAAATAAACACAGGAAATGATGTATCTGCCTTAAAAAATAATGATACAAGTTATTAATTGAACAAAAATATATGGAATCAAACATCGACAGGAAGAAAAACCACAATGAACTCTCTCATAGCATTTGCCTTACAGTGCTGGACACAAAATTGATAAACGAGTGCATAACATTCCATTGCCATTCGATTATTGTCATTTCAGAAATCACCTGTACATCTTAAACCACTTTATTTTCCGCATCACCACAAGAGAGGGTTAAAAAACAAGTCTGATGTACTAAAATATTGAAACTACTTGATTTTGATTCCCTTGCACATTCGATTCCTTTAATATATCAAGAAAGCCATTGAATGTGCATTTTAAAAGCTATTACACCATCAAGCATTCTTGTTTGCCTGTTTACGAGCTTCTTCTCGCATTGTTGCTTTTACGTAGATCTCATAGCAACACCCTGGTAACAAGAAACATCAAAAACAAAGGGTAAAAACAAGTTTGCCATAATGCATATTTGTATTTGAGATTTACTCACGTTTTATGCAAATTGTCAATTGCACATATAAATCCTTTTATCCTTGAAAGCAAAAAATAAAAAAATGCAGGTAGATAAAACTGAAATAACATTTCCGAAACATATCAGAATATAGAAATTGAAAGTGATGCCCAAACAATCTGGATGCTAAACACAAAAGTGATGTAAAGCATAAGAGCATCTGAGTTTCAACCCATCAGTGGCACCGCAACAATACACATTCGTAAACTTTCAACATTGTGAATACTAAGTTGACAATCAATTTCTTATTGTTCAATCCAAACATTTTGATAAATTTTAAAAGCACTTAAACGTGTTTTTCTTCTTTCCCATTGAAGAACATGTAACATAATCCAAAGTAAAAAGGGTTTTAAGTAACCAAAAACAGCAAGTTATCCATATTTGCAAACAGTGCATCAAATTTCATGTCACGGAACTTTTAATGATAAAGGTTTTATTATTTTATCTGTTGCTAGCATTCGGGTCATCTCCTAATACAAGAATTCTAAATCAGTTGTTGCTAGGGGATAAGTTGGCATGAAACAATAGTATAGCACACTCAGTACAAGTTATCAAGGAGGATTAGCATACCGGCTACAACTATGATGGTCAGAGCATCTCCGATTATTTTGAGGCGCCGCACACTTTTCTTATGAGATTTGAAGCGTTTTAATGCTGGGTCCTCCGCTAAGAGCTGAAACAATGAGATTCTTTTAAAATAAGGCACAATACTACAGTAAGGCAAGAATTACTCGCTGAAAGGTGAGAAAAGGGACCCAAGAAAAGGGACCCAACACACACGCACACAGCCACAAAGAGAGAGAGAGAGAGAGAGAGAGAGAGAGAGAGAGAGAGAGAGAGAAGAACTAAATGAATCGCTACATATGGTTCCATTATGTAATAATACAGATCAAGGTTTGGAAGAAAAATATCTTCTGTGAACATAATCGCAGCGATGCAGTAGTGAAGTCTTGGTATCAGAATAAAGCATCCAACCAACATTTTTCTAGCCCCCTGGGGCAGCAAAGGACATCTAAAATTCCACTGTCCACATGTTTCCAACTTATAAGAAAGGTGCGGTTATCATGATCTGAGATTCTCTAGTGATGTTTTAACATTTGCATACACACCTATAGGCATAAGGGAATTTCAAACCTCTTTAAGATCCTCACTTGTAAATTGACCACTCGGCAACTTCTTATTTGAGAGTTGGATAAGATTATTTCGAATAAAATCATTGATTATGAAAAGTGGATTACCGATCTCCATAAACACTGTTGTATAAATTTTTGGAAGCTCTTCCGCTTCTTCATCTCTTCATGTTCAAAAAAAAAAAGATCGTTTAGATTTGATGGGACCCAATTTCATCCGTTTTTTTTTTCCCAAAACTTAGACTTGTAGCATAACATAGATATCTATTTCGAAAAATATGACCTAACGTGTAATTTCCGCTGAACATAAAGGAAAAAGTTCTTATGCCTGCAGAAAATGATCTGTGGGTAAATGAATTCTAGCTAGTTTCAAATATATCAGGATCGCTGGATGGCTAAAATGTAAAGTCGGTGGATCTATAGGTATATCAATATGTATAGTGGGCTCATATGAAGGGTATGTTATTATTTTAAATCTAACCAATTGGATGAATTACTCCTAAAGGTTCATATCAAACTAGTGCTAGTTCTGAGGTCCCTGGGGAAGAGGATCAAGTTGGCCCTTGGGAACAGCTTGATGCACTATCTCCTTTCAACCCTTTGAGCGAAATGCGGCAAAAGAAAAGGAAGGAAAATCCATGGACCGACCCCATCATCTCCACCCCGTAGGAACTACGAGATCTTGATTGTGGAATATCATTGAGAAATAGGAATCCGTGTTATCAAAGGATTTCTTGCGATTATTTCTAGTATGGAATGAGTCAATCATCCACTTTGGGATCTTATTAAACAAAAAGGGTGATATTGTTCCTCCATTGATCAAGAATTTCGATTTTCGGGAAGTATCATGATCATCCAATAAGAAGGGTTTCCATTTTTTCAAATAAACAACTTGAAGACCTATTGATTCTAACAATTGATTGCAGAGTTGATCATTCGGACCTTTCAATTCATAGATGTAGATCTCGGATCTATGAATGAGGAGGCCATCGAAAAGCTATTGAACATCGTGAATATTTTTGGCATTGGGATAGCTATTCCACCCATTTTGTCAAGATAAACAAGACGTATTCTATCATAAGTCGTTCCTGCCAAGAAAAAAAGTGCAGCACCAATAAATCCATGAGGGATTATTTGTAATTATGAACCAATATGAGATTATTTGTGATAGAACCAATTCCTATAATTATGAAACCCATATGAGATACAGAGGAATAGGCTATTCTTTTTTTTAAATTCCGTCGACGGAGAGATGTTGAAGCTGCATACATTATAAAAAGAATGCAGTTTGCATACAAGAAAGCAACCTCTTTCCATATATGTTCAGCCAACAAATGAGTAAAACTTCGGCTCTAGTCAACTGTATAGACGACTAACTATTTCGATAAGCAAACTAAAAAACATGAAAATCAACGAATAATGTTAAAAATTGATTCAATTTCGTTCCACCGTAAGGGTTAAAAAGCTATCAAAGGAGTACGATCAGTCAGAAAAAACAATAAGCCTCTGTTTGGTTTAAGCTAAAAATCAGATTTTTTTAGTAGATTTTGATAAAAGTTGATGAAATATGTAATTGAAAAGTTGATAAAGTTATGGGTTTCATGAAATGTGTGGTGCTAAAATTAATTATTGATTTTGAATTAGATTTTTAGCGACTTTTTAAATTAAACTAAACAGGGGGCTAAGTGGCAAAATATGACAGAAGATGAAAAATGGAAGAACATGCGGTGGCCATTCAGTATCAGCTTAGCAGAACTACGTCACCAGCATCTGGTTATGAAATGTTAAATAAATCATTAGATGTCAAAGGGTCCAAGAAAAGACTCTAAATGCAGATACTTAAACTCTAAAACGAGACAGTTTATTGGATTTGTGAGGATAAGATATACAAAGAAGCTTAGGACCAGTCCTCAGAACGTTTCCTTTAAAAAACAAAAAACAAAAAAAAAAAAAAATTAGGCGAAGCTATGTAAGAATGATAAGAACGTGAACTAATTTACTGAAACCCAATTAGCTATCCAAGTAAACAGAAGAAAAATATTCAGAGCTTGTTTAGTAGTAATTATGAGAATCAAATTTTTAACTGTTTGAGATAAAAGTAGGTCTCACCTGCGAGTGAAGAATTCAAAAATAACGACCGACTTAGAAAAGTAACGGTCAGAAGATTGATTTTTTGGTGTGAAGAATCAGAACCAAACGAGGTCTCGAACTATCTCAATTTCATGTTTTTAGCACTAGTGAGCCTAAAAATCAGATTATATACACCAATAGGATGGAATCATTCAGTACGTCCATGGACATGGTAGAAAACAACCGTCACTATAGACGACCAAAAACAAAAAAAAACAAAGCTCATTCTCAATAAATTTGGAATCGACTAAATGAATGCAGCTAGATCCTTCTACACATTTCTTGCAATAGCCTAAAAATCCACTCATGTTTATCTATAGGAGGTGCAGCCCAGATTGATAAGAATAGCAATAGCCAATATGTAGAAAACCAACATCAAACTTTGTCAAATCTATTACACAAATCCCAATATGCATTTCATGCATCTTGATAAAAGCCAAAATAAAAGATAGGAAACCCATCCAATAGAATAAACTGCCTCAACTGAGGCCACAAACAAGATACTTTCCCCAGTCCTTTGAAAACCCATGCATTCTTAAATCATCGAACTCTCATATATTTGCTAAGAGACGAAGGAAAATTGATTTTCCTTGGGCCTTAAAATAAATTAGATGCCAAAAGAAGAAACTTTTATTGTAGCAGACCTGCAACACTAGGTCATCGAAGCATCGAGAAACCTAAAGCTAGGTTTGCTACATAATAAGTTAGGAACTAGAATTATAATTAAAAAAATTCCATAAAAATTTGAACTCAATCTATGGGCACTGGGGACTTGATTTTTATTCAGATCTAATCTCAAGCACAGAAATTTCTAGTTCCAATTATACAAGCTAAGGGGAGAAGTACTCACAGCCTTCTCACGAGTCCCAGGTTCGACGTGAAATCCGCGCCTTGATAGCGTTAATGAATTATCAGCCTTCTGCAGTAAAATTTTCATTAATAGCCCACCAATTTTGACATTCCATTTCCACAATCTACCTCAATAAACAGATGTATATATGAAAAATTAGCCTAACAACAGCACATAAACAATATGCATGTACCTGGGAATGGATTCTGAGTTTAGAAAGAGCAGTTTCCTTCAGTAAAAATGCCATTCCTTTCAAGAATTGACCAAAAAATGTAGAGGGAGCCACCCGAGATGGTAATCTGAGACTGTTGAAAGTGCTCCGCAATTATTGATGGGGAAAATACCACTATTAGTGCCGTTTAAAAATCAAAAGGAAAATTTGCACATTTGTCCCCAATCTTTGGAAACTCTTACTGATGTATCCCCAACTTGAAAAATTAATGGAATTGTCCCCAACCTTTAGCGACCTTTGCAACATTGGTCGTTTTTTAATGTTTTCCGTCAATTCATCAATTAAAGCAAGACATGGATTGCATTGTATCATTTCCCTCGACAATTGAGTAACATATTTGTGTCCATGACCTAACCCAACCTTAATATTTAACCAATAGGTTTAGTTCCTTTACTGTACATATTTAAAAGGTTTGATATCTTTGATACTAATTCTTTTTTTTTTTTAATAAATAAAAGGTTAAAAGGCCATTTTACCTTTTTGTAAAATTGGTCAAATTATGGTATGACTTTTGGTCAACTAACGAATTTATAGAAGTCCTTTTGCCCGATCAGTTTGAAAAGCTTGGGGACCAATGATGCTACAAATTAAAGGTTTTGATAAATCTGTACATTTTTGAAAAGTTTGAGACAATC